AATGATCAAAATAACCAATCCTATAAAAGGTAAGTTTATCTAGATCTTCCAGATTCTCGGAGTGGAGATCCCACTCCTAGTTTCATCGTTCCGGATTTTGGGGGTGGAGATCCCACCTCGAGTCTCCTTTCCAGCTGAAGATAGAATATAAAATTCTTCTTCCTCAGTGTCGGGAGATAGAATATAAAATTCTTCCTCTCCCATTTCGGGTTCGTCTTTGTCCCAAGAGAAGACACCACCTTTTTCAACTCCCAAAATCTGTGCCTCACAGGTATGGAGAATTTTATCCCGAATCCTAAGTAGGGATAAGTCAACGCCTAACACGTGTTGCCGGTTTAGTCTTTCACCGATTAAAGAAGACACCAGAATTCCAGTCTAGAAAGTTTATCCCGAATCCTAAGCAGGGATAAGTCTGCGCCTAAAACGCGCTACCGGTTTAGTCTTTCTCCGTAGACAATATTGTGGCAGGTTGTTATTAATAATACCAAAATCCATGCCTTACACGCATGGGGAATTTCATCCTGAATCCTAAGAAAGGATATGCCGACGCCTAACACGCGTCGCCGGTTTAGTCTTTCTCCGTAGAAAAAGACACCAGAGTTCGATTCTGGGGTATTTTATCCCGAAGTCTAAGTAGGGATAAGTCAGCGTCTAATACACGTTGTTGGGTAGCCTATTCCCGTAACAACAGCGAAGCCTATGTATTCGACATCATAGCACAAAGTCTCAGAGAATTCACTCTCTTAGCACAACGTTACATGCGGAACGGATTTAGACAATCCGCATGCTAGCCCGACTCAAACGACAGTCGGTAAAGGCTTATCAAACCCGTTGAAGGCTGGGGGTTAGCCAAAAACCCCAAAGTCGACGCCTAACACGCGTCGCCGGGTGGTCTATTCCCGTGAGAAAGACGAAGTCTACGTATTCAATATCGTAGCACTAAAAGGGTTAACTCTTTTAGCTTAACGTCACATGCGGAACGGACTTGAACAATCCGCATGCTAGCCCGACTCAAACGGTAGTCGGTAAAGGCTAATCAAACCCGTTGAAGGCGGGGGGTTAGCCAAAAATCCTAAAGTCAACCCCTAAACCCTAGGGTCAACGCCGGTCAACGCGTAACCCTAGGTCAACGCCAGTCAACGCGTTGCGATAAAAAAGCCAACGTACGACGTTCAAAACCCTAAGGTCAACGTCGGACAACACGTAACCCTAGGTCAACGCCTATCAATGCGTTGCAATAAAAGAATCAATACTCCGAAAAGTATACGAGTATAAACTGCTTCTTAATACTCTAATAAGGTATACGAGTATAAACTATTTCTTATTTTTGGTTGAGAAGTTTCTGGAGAATATTTTTCTAAAAAAATATTCTTAAGGATAACTTAACAACACTACGTCGGACAACGCGTCGCAAAATAAAGACTCAACGCCAACAATCAATGGTCAGCAAACACGAGCTAAAGATCAGAAAATCAGGAATCGACTTCAAGTTTAAAAATTCCGACAACGGTCAGACAATAAATGCAGCACCGGAAACCTTACAGACATTCGACAAAGCACCGAATAGCCTGAAGGATTGAAGGAATCAAGAACAGAAGCCATTCCAAGGTCCCGTTACACCGACTGAAGGTTGGGACAATCATATCCAAAGTATTCCAGACTCTTTCATAAAAGAACGAGACTGAAATACTTTGGAGGGGGTATCTGTAGGCGTATAAAACTGCTTATAGGTCCCTTAGCATAGCTCGGCACGGTAATTCGACAAATCAACGAACCATCGGGTGACGTATCTAAACACGAGCATTAGTCCGCAACACCAAAGCCAAGTGACACGCAACGAAGCGGATTAACGAGGCGACGAGGTTAACGAATCGCACGCAAGCAACGGAATGCATCCATTCGCGTGCGGAATCAAGCCAACGATTCGGGGAGTCAACGAGTCATTCAACCATAGAACGGATTCGAACTCAAACACCAAGGCGGATTTACTACCAAATCAGGATCCAAACACCAAATCAGAGTCCAGATCAACAACGAAGCGCAAAACCGGACAACGGACACAACGAAAGGTTGGAAAATTTCGAGGCGAAGCTCTGCTGGATTCAAGGCTCAGAACTTAAAAAGATTGAAGCTTTGGGACTTTGAGGACTTGCTCTTCCAGATCCGGTGCTCGGCGATCGTCAACGCCAAATAAGACAAGAGTTCGAGAGGAACCGGATCTCAGATCTACGTAGTCATCCTCCGGATCAAAGCTTGGCCTTTGATCCCGAGAACTAAAGGCTACTATTTCCTTGGCGAAATAGTACTCAAGGCTATTATTTCCTTGGCGAAATAATACCCGTCATACTGCGTAGATCCGACCGGATCTAGATCGTGCGGTGGTCCACGGATAAACCCCGGCGCAGGCGAAGAACCCACAAAGCGAGTGACCGCAAAACAGGAGCTCGCGATTCGTTCGAAAGGAAAGTTGTAATCTTTTTTTCTTTTTCTTTGATTTCGTTGTAACCGGATCTTATAAAAAGACCGGATCTTTGTAATCGATAAATTATTACAAGAGTGTGCAATGGAATCAATGAAAGCTACGATTTTTCCCGCGAACAGTGAGCCTTGCGTTTTGTCGCTTGGAACGCAGAAGTGAGCTTTGTGTTTTGTTCTTAGAACGCAGGGGTTAGCTCTGCGTTTTGAGTTTGGAACACAGAGTTGAGCTCTACGTTTTGAGTTGAAGAGACCATTCATTTGTTGTATCTTTAGTTAGAACATTGCAAAGACTGTGATCTTCATCTTGGCTCCTTGGAATGTGAGAGTCGTCAGTTGTAACTCTTGTTGGTGATTGTGAAGGCCGTCGAATCAGAGCTTCCATCGGTTGTTGTGAAGGTCGTTGAATTGCAACCTTCGTTAATTTTCGTGAAAATCTTTAAATTGTAGCCTTCTGGAAGTCATCGAATTGTAACCTCAATTATCAGTGCTTGATGGGAATCAGCTATCTGCAGTAATTTTTAGACAGCCTACAAGCACACAGTTCTTCCTTTACCCCACTCAAGTCATCACCTAACTTGATCATCGGAGGTAGAACGGGGAACCAATCCCCTCCCTCTCACGAATTTTTATATGTGCAGATTGTTCAGCAACCCCATTTAAGAACTAGACATAAAGTCAGGAAAGAAAGCGGTCCCTCTTCAATACTGAACAAACCGATCATATCCTGGATCCAATTGACTGTGTGATCATATAAACAATCAACAGCTATAGTGACGGAGAAGTGAATGGTTCGGCTGTATCTGACGGCTACAGTATTACGAGCCCATTCCATTGCTTTTTGCTGAGAAATGCTGATGGGCTGCCAACTCAGCTACAGTAATGACAACTCAGCTACAATAACCACACTTATTTGAGCAAGCCAAATAAAAGAGTTGAGTGTAATAATATAGCAACTAACATCTATAGTATTACACCCCAAAAAATTGGCAAACAAACAGGCTCTAAAAGTGATTTCTAAGGGGGACAAAAAAGAAAACCCAACTAAAAACGAGGTTGATGTAGCTATCATCATCCGACAACAATAAGAACAACTCTTTAGAAACAAACGGAGTAACTAGTCCAAATGGAAAAGTTGTGCCTGCTGTTAATTAAAAGGAAAAAAAAAGTTCGCCTCAACTCTTATATAATTTTGACGTTGCGACAGCAAAATTGATTTGAGGGCACTGTCTGTCGGAAAGAAAGAACGAAACTAAAATTGGCCAATTTTGTTAGGAAATTATGATACAAACAGCAGGAAAATGGGAACTAAAGTAGGAACTAGAGTAGAAATGGGCCCCTATACTTATGGGCCTGAGCTGTAGATGAGTTATAAGAACTAATGTCCCACTTAAGTGTAGGAAAATTCCTTAAGGAGCCAAAATATGAGACCAATAGGGAGACAAGTGAGGTGTCCCTCTCCTATTGGATAATGAGTTGATCATCATTAATGATGGTCAACTCATTATCCAATAATGATGGTCAACTCATTATCCAATAGGAGGGGGACACCTCACTTGTCATCCTTATTGGTCCCATATTTTGGGTCACTGTAACAAAGCTCTAAAGTGTAGGAACTTCCTAGTAATAAGATGAAAAAGTGGCAACTATCCAAATAATTAGTTATGGGCCACACGTGCAAAAGAGTGTCGAACCAGCTTATCATTTTAAGCACACATAATTAGTAGTGCTGTTATTATTATTACATGCTAATTTCCAACATTTTTCATAAGAACCATGTTTTGCCTTGTTAAAATTGGGACAATTCTTTGACTTCATCTAATTCACAAGGAATATTCTAGTTTCCTTTTTAACAGTATTAGACTAACACACTGATATGTAGTTTTCCAAGCTATTAAAAAAAATGAGTGCTGTAAATTTGATTCACTGGAATGTGCTTATTAGGGTCGACCAAATCATTAGTATATCTTCAAGTTTCTTTAGCAAACAACACGAGCATCAAATAAAGAGAGAAATTACTTAGATCTTAGGGCATCTCCAACAGGTTCTCTAAATTTTTTTTCAAAATAGGGAAGCAAAAGTCATATTCTTCAAATTATTTTTACACAAACTCTAACAGCTTCCCCATTTTGAAGAATCATTTTTTTCCTCCAAAAATTTGGAGAATGCTGCAGATTTGAGGAAGCTTCCCTATTTTTTCTCCTCTATTCCTATTTTGGGGAATGAGATGAGGAATCTGTTGGATCAAAAACCTAACTAAATTCTCCAAAAGTAAAAAATAAGGAAGCTGTTGAAGATGATCTAATTATTGCCTAATTTTTCCTTTTAGACTGTATATAGTCCTCTGGATTGATAGTGCCCTCAATTTCTTCTTTCTTGTTTTGCCATAAACCTTGTTTCTTTTTATAATTAATAAAATCCTAAGTAAAGTACAATTAATAAGTGCTTTCACAGTATTTGATAGGTTTTTAACGAAGGATCAAATAACTCCAGCATCCCAGAAAACGAGAGGAAAGAAAAGAGACGACGTGGATCAGACATCTCGTTGTCAGCGTCAGTCAATCGCATTTCTGGATCCCGTACTCCGCCCTTTTTTTTAAAAAAAAAATTACATCCCTCTCCCACAAGGGCCTTGGCAAACATACTCTCGCTCCCTAATTCTCCGTCCTCTGCGGCGCCGGTTTCCCGACCGCCGTGCCCTACATACGATGACCAGACTCCACTATTCCCCATAACAGCCTAGCGGTCAGATCACCGCTCTCCCGCTTCACTATAAACTGTCTATTAAAAAAAAAAGATCTCTTCTTTTGAGAACTCTCTTATTGCAATCTCGATCTAGGGTTTTCTGAGGGGTTTTTTTTCCTGTGAGATGAGATTGATCATGGGAGTTCACATTGGACGGCGGATCTTTTTGCGAGTAGGATCGCTGAAGTGGTCGTCGTTGAGAAGGTGAGCTTTTTTCTTACTTGAACTCTCGAAAATTTGGCTTTTATTGATGAATTTTGAGCTGATGATAGCTGTTTATTTATGGTGTTGGAAATTGAGAATAGTGAGAAGAAATGGCGAGGGGTTGAGGAAATTTCCACTGATTGTGGTCTCTATAATTTGAGATGAGAGGTTGGGAAATTGGAGGGAGTGGAGTGGGGGATTTGAGAAATGTAGGATATTTTTTTTAGGATTTGACAGTTTGATGTTTGTGAAATTGCCTAATTTAAGATGTGGGAGAGGTTTGCTGGTTGTCCTGCAATGAATTTTGACACCAAGCAGATTGGGGTTATGCTGTGTTGCTTTTCAAACACATAATGGAATAATCCTTAATTCAGAATAAAAAGAATTGTAATATATTTCCGAATTACTCAAGAAGTGATATGGTTAAATAGGAGTTTATATCCCATGATTGCTAGTGTAAATGATCTAGATATCTCAAATCCTCATCTTACGATTCTCATTTACCATCTCCGTCCCTAGATCGAGTCATCCTTTCAACTCTCTGACACTCACTAGGTTTAGCAAAAAGTTCAGCGGCCGTGAAGGATTCATTTGATTTACAGCATGAGGTTGTCCTTAGAAGTTTTTTACTGTTGCCACACTCAGGATGGCTGACTTTACACCCGGATTGATAGGTAACAATTTTCTCAATGTGCTAGGTAACAGATCACTGGCGATAGGTTATGAATCATGTTGTGGATGATCATATAAAATTCTTAATCATGAACTTCTTTCTTATTGTGGCCTTCATGTATTATTGTTGGTCAAGGCATGTTTTTTCTGAGTAAAGAGGGAAGTCCCTCAATTTTTGACAAAAAAATAGAGGTACTTCAGGGGAGTATAGATTATAAAATAATAAGATCAATATCAAAATAAAGCTTCGCTCGAGAAGGAAAGTCTTATGACTGAGGCTATGAAAAAAATAACACATATGCTGAATGTACAAAACTTTAACCTGTGTGTACTCGTTGTTATCAGACCCATTATCCTCTTGGCATCCGAAAGAACAAGTGATGGGGTATAGGAAAGAAAGCATGTCATACAGGGTGCATGACAAATGAATTCTTGAATATGCAGATGTGTCCATTCGATATGTTCTGTTGCCACCATGACCAATGTGTTTCAGCAGTTGTAGTTTGTGGGATGATACTTAGAGGAAATAGTAGGGTAGAAAAGAATGTAGGTCTCTGTGATGCGGTATTAAAATTAATTCATTCACGTTTTTAGTCTTTTCTTTGCTAAATTTTGAATGGCAAAATCAGAATTCATATATGCAGACTGAAAAGGTGGAATTGACACAAAGGGGAGATAAGCAGGAACTGAAATTAAGTTTCCAAACCTTGCTTGTTAACTTTTTGAAGTATTGGACATTGTGCATGAGTCTTGATATTTGTTAATGTACCTATAATTTATTTTTACAAGCTATTTCAACTTTTTATATTAATCAGTGCATGATTTTATAATTTCTATTTAGACCTTCACTGGTGTAGAACGGACACCTTCATATAAAAGAGCCAAAATGGAAGCATAATGTAGTTTTGATATATTATTTGATACATATTTGGAGCATTCTCGAAGTGCCTACGCCTGATACATAAAATAAAAATAAAAAAAAATAAAAAAAATAAAAATAAAATAAAAAAACAAAACAAAATGTAACGTGTCAAGGACTTGCGGCTATATCCTTACTAATGAGGGACTAAAATCTACAGTCCGCAGCTGCTACAAAGCTGAAGTTATGCTCCATCCTTATTCTATATTTCTTTTACATCTGTCGTTTTTTTAAACAGAGACCTTCATGGTCAAAACTTTGTGATATATTACTCATTTTATTACCTAGCATATTGACATGGGTTGCATGATTCTTCAGAAACCAGGATCTGGTACTCGACAGTCCATGAAGCAATTCAGCTAATGCTTATGGGATTTTCCTAGGTACTTGTTGAATACATTTCCACTGTCCGAAGACTTTTTGGAAGTTTTTCTATTTAGAAAGAGTAGATGTGATAAATATGCAAATAAAAGGAGCCACTTCTGATGGTTTTGGAGTCAGCGTGTCTAGTGCTATTAGTGCATCTAGTTATGGTTCTGCACAGGATGATAATGATGCATTTGGAGATGTGTACATGTGGGGGGAGATCGTGTGTGATAATTCTGCCAAGGCTACTATGGATAGTAGTAATGTAAACCCTTTCAGTGCAAGAGCCGATATTCTACTGCCCAAGCCATTGGACTCCAACGTGGTTTTAGACATTAATCATGTGTCCTGTGGGGTCAAACATGCTGCCCTACTTACTAGACAAGGTGAAGTGTTTACATGGGGTGAAGAATCTGGCGGACGCCTTGGCCATGGAGTTGGAAGACATGCTGTTCATCCTTGTCTTGTTGAGTCCTTATCAGCTTGTAGTATTGATTTTGTTGCTTGTGGAGAGTTTCATACTTGTGCTGTTTCTGTTGCCGGTGAACTGTATACTTGGGGAGATGGTACACATAATGCAGGGTTGCTTGGCCATGGTACTGATGCCAGTCACTGGATACCTAAAAGAGTTTCAGGACCTCTGGAGGGGCTCCAAGTTGCTTATGTTACATGTGGAACATGGCATACGGCCTTGATAACCTCGGCTGGACAGTTTTTCACATTTGGTGATGGAACATTTGGTGTGTTGGGTCATGGAAACAGAGAGAGCGTTTTTTACCCAAGAGAGGTGGAAACTTTGATGGGATTGAAGACAATTGCTGTTGCCTGTGGAGTTTGGCATACTGCTGCTGTGGTAGAGGTTATCGTGACACAATCTAGTGGTTTATCTGGAAAATTTTTCACTTGGGGTGATGGAGACAAATACCGCCTTGGTCATGGCGATAAGGAACCGCGTCTTAAGCCCACTTGTGTGCCATCCCTAATAGATTATAATTTTCACAAGCTGGCATGTGGTCATAGCTTAACAATTGGGTTGACTACCTCAGGGCATATCTTTACAATGGGAAGTACTGTCTATGGTCAGCTTGGCAATCCCCTTTCAGATGGAAAGCTTCCATGCCTAGTTGAAGATAAACTCTCTACCGAATCTGTAAAGGATGTTGCTTGTGGTTCATACCATGTTGCCATATTGACAACCAGGGGTGAGGTTTACACATGGGGTAAGGGAGCCAATGGACGATTGGGCCATGGAGACCTCGAAGATCGTAAAATACCCACACTTGTTGAAAATTTAAAGGACAGATCCGTAAAAAGCATTGCCTGTGGCTCTAATTTCACAGCAGCCATATGCCAACATAAATGGGTATCAGGTGCAGAACAGTCTCAATGCTCAGCTTGTAGACAAGCATTTGGATTTACTCGAAAGAGGCACAATTGCTATAATTGTGGACTTGTACACTGTCATTCATGTAGTTCAAGAAAGGCTTTGAGAGCTGCACTGTCGCCAAATCCTGGAAGACCATATCGTGTATGTGATTCCTGTTTTCTGAAACTTTCTAAAGCTTTAGAAACAAGTGGAAGTAATGAGAGGAGAAATGTATCTCGCTTGTCGGGTGAAAGCAAGGACAGGTTCGATAAGGCAGAGACGAAAATGACTAGGAGTACTTTGCCTGGAAATTTGAATTTGAACAAGAATTTGGATACTAAGCCAGCCAAACAAGGCAGAAGATCTGATTCTTTGTCTTCGATTCCAACCCATGTTGATCTTTACCAGGCATTTCCTAGACCTGTCACCACATCAGCAATTCAATCTGCAAATCATTCCAGAACTTCTTCACCATTCTCAAGAAAAAATAGCCCTCCACGATCTGCAACACCTATTCCGACCATGTCCGGCCTTACTTTCTCCAAAACCGCTACTGACAGCTTGAAGAAAACCAATGATCTCTTGGGTCAAGAACTTCAGAAGTTACGTAAACAGGTACATCAATTTGGCTGTAGATACCTTTACTTAAAAAATAGCATCATTATCTTACATAATTTTATCTGTTATAATGGACCTGAATTAGGTTGACATTCTTACGCAACGATGTGAACTACAAGAATTTGAAGTAGAGAAGTCAGCAAAAAAAGCTGAAGATGCCATCCAACTTGCTGCTGACGAATCTGCCAAGTCCATAGCTGCTAAAGAAGTTATAAAAACCCTAACTGCCCAGGTAATATTAAGGTCGATCCTTCTTTCTTTCATGACCTAAGTTCATTTTCCTAAAGAGAGGTGTTCTTACGACTGTTTAAACCTCAGATTTTCAAAGAGCATGAAGTGCACTGAAACTATTTAGATAATAATCTTAAGTCAAGATAGATGTCCTGAGTCCCTATTTTTCTCCAAATAATAGCTTAAAACTGTTTCCTTTGAGATCTGACCATTGACAGTTTGTATCTATGGGTTAAAGTGTATGCTCATTGTCACAATGGGTGGATTGGGTGTTATGTGTTAACAAGTGTGGCGGGAAAATCAAATTACCCTTGTACGGGTCAAGTGGGGGTGAGAATAGGATTCCATACTTCAAAATCCTGCAGAAATTTCTTCTTGTTTTTTGTAAGAACCTTAAATCCCTCGAAGGAAAGCCCTGAATCTCTCATGTATCAAAGTTCATGAAGCAAAATGGAAAAAAGGCTTAATTTCCACACATCTTTGCTGTGTATTTGTCTAACTTCAAGTATAAATCTTAGCTCTCGTTGATATATCTTGTGCTGAAAGAGAAGGGGGTAAATGATACCATTGATATCTACGAAGTTAACAAGGGAATGGATGAAAAGTCAACTGTGGAAAATATGTTCCTCAGATTTTTGGACCCATCAAAAGTGATTGTTGGCTTAGTATCAAAAGTAACTTTTTGGTCAAAATCAGTGATTTATTCTTTGCTTGACCATGTTATGTAACTCTGAGATTTCACGATGAAGGTTTATCATTATCATTATTATTAATATTATTAGGGGCTATCATTATTTTCAATTCAAACCAAATGTCTATATCAACTGAGGACATTATAATAGCCAATGGTATATGGAAGGAGAGAATAATGTGGACATAAACTACCATGTCAGGAATGACGGAAAACAGGAAGAGAAGGAAAGCCTAGAGCGAGATCAAATGGGCATCTAGATCTAATCTATGAAAGGAAGATATATCAAAGGGTAGGAGGTTTTCACCAGTAGATGGGGTATTATTGATGGGTGTGTTTTTTGATGTACTTACCTTCTATTGGATGGAAAATCAAATGCTCCGAAGTAGTTATTGAGATTCAGGGCGGGTTTGTATATTTGTATCCAATTTTGATACTGAAATCGAGGATTTCTGCTTTTGTACTTTACAGTGGTAGTGAAATTGTCTATCTATGTTCCTTCTATGAATGTAGGCCAGGTTTTGTGGATCAACATGTATCTTAGTGTGTTCCATCTTCATTATCTTTTGTATCTTGGTCTAGTAGAGGTTTTATATTTGATCTGTACATGTGTTTTTTTCTGGTTTATATTTTTACAGCTTAAAGATATGGCTGAGAATCTGCCCCATAGAGCGTATGCCCCTGATTCTATAAGACCAAGGTATCTAAATATTGCCACCGAGCCTCTAGCCAATCATCACTTGGATCTGAGAAAAGAGAATCAGAGAAATGAGGCAAGTAATGGACAAGACATACCACCAGTAATAGCTGCCATTACAGGTGTAAATCTTTTGTATAGAGAAACCCGTGAAGATAATGATATGTACACAGTTAGCCAAACACTTACCAATTCCAATTCAATGAATGAAGATTATAATGTGGAGCATAGTAGCAAGAGAGGTTAGCCAAACACTTACCAATTCCAATTCAATGAATGAAGATTATAATGTGGAGCATAGTAGCAAGAGAGACACTCCAACATCTGCCAAAATGCAGCAATATGAATGAAGATTATAATGTGGAGCATAGTAGCAAGAGAGACACTCCAACATCTGCCAAAATGCAGCAATTTAATGCCAAGGAAGCCAGGCCCTTGCAAAACGGTAACAACAGTTTCAGGTCTAGATTGCCCACTACAGCTACTACTCAAATGGAGGCAGAATGGATAGAACAATATGAACCTGGTATATACATCACTCTTATGGCACTGCATGATAGGACCAGGGAACTGAAGAGGGTTAGATTCAGGTACTTAAAAAATGGTCGTGAGCTGTATATTTTCTTATTAAAGCTTAAGGTACTTGCATTTCTTATTACGAAATTGTTTTTTTAGTCGGAGGCGATTTGCGGAGCAGCAAGCTGAAACTTGGTGGACTGAGAACCGTGAGAAGGTGTATGAGAAGTACAATGTTCGAGTGTCTGAAAGAACAAACTCATCTGGAGTTCCCAGATCACCATGATAGTTTGCAACAGGGAGAGAATTTTTTGCCATTTTTCACCCAGTCTCTATTGGCGCTGCCAAGATGAGTTCTATAGAAACATGATATCTTAAAGTCAGTAAGCACTGATTCCAGATAATAGTTCTTTGGGACAGTGAATGTTGGAGTATTATCTAAAGGCAATCTGGAGATCTTCAGTAAGCAATGCTGTACTCTGTATAGTATAATGTGTTCCCTTTATTTATACTTTCTTGTCTCTGTATCTGCTTCTACATGTTGTATTTTGTATATAAACTACTAGACATAAAATAGTATGGGACAGAAAAAAGAACCTTCTAGACATTAATTTCTTGTTTACCTCTTGATCATTCTGTTGTACAATATACATATATAATCTTTTATCATCATGTCCGTGATTTAAAAACAGCTCTTTATGCTTGTAGATTTACTGCCTCTATCTATATCAATGTCCCATGATAATCATGCCTCTTATCAACCTCAGTTTACCACAGACTTCATAAGTTTGTTCTATGTAATTGTCATTGATATGAGCTCATTTTGACCGTCTTGTCCAGGGTAGCAATGGGTAAGCAGGCCACTTTTGTTTACATTTATTGGTATCTGTAAATGCTCCTTGTAGATCAGCCGAGTAGCCAAATGGAGCCTTAATTTTATGCATGACACAGCTTTCACCAACACTGTCAGGTTAAATATAAGCAGACAGACACTTTATTTAAGGGTGTATACACTACTAACAATTACACTGTAATGGTGTTCAATGCACAAATTTGTTGTATACTATGTTAAATCCAGTGCAAATAGAGAGAATATGAGTTGTTGGCCTTAAGGCTTCTCCTATCCCATTGGCAACCCTTCATCATTCACGAAACCCAGCCCACTTGTTACCACCTCTGGCAATGGTATTTCTGTTCTTACTTCATTAGTTATCCGACCAGTCAATTTCTTGAAGTTGAGGCTAACAAACTGTTCTTTCTGGTTTATATTCCTAAGGAACCATATATAGTCGAGTCAATGGAATCTGTAGTTTAATGGAGGTCAACTCTGTACTGATCGATGAGCCAAGATTTTCTCCTATAATGTGTCCAGGACTAGCTCAATAACCTGAAGAATCCTCATTATTTATCTCTCTCTCTCTCTGCCGCTATGACATTTTTTTGTTCTATACATTTGCCGGAACCATATATTGTAAGGTTACATTTGTCTCCCAACATACCCATTGCAGTTAGGCCTGTGGAAACGTGTATGGGTTTGAGAAAGGGGTCATGCAAATATTTGGTATCCGATATTAAATCAGGTTGAATACTTTTTGAAATCGGTGGGGTATCAGAATTTGTCGCCAGAATAGCCATTTTCAATAGCTACATGCAAAATGCTATTGGAACTCAATTTGTTCTTTCAGGATAGTGATGTAAATCTAAACATTACATTGCTTAAGATGCATCTTGGATCCTGACAGAGTCAAGCAGAATCTTGCTAGACTTGCCATATGCTCATCCTCATCTGCTTCATGCTTTATTTTCCCCAGGAATTCTTATTTTATAGCTTTAGCTTATTCTTCTCATAATAAGTCTACCTTTGGGACATGCGGTCTATTTAAAGTTTGCATCTCTGGCCATTTTTGGATGATTGGAAGAATCCGCACTTTTGTTGAAACTGTGATCCATGGATTTATGGAGTGGACCACGATCCTTAGAATCTTTGTTTTAAGGCCCAGTGTACACTTTGTCTAAAGCATCAGAAATCCTCCTTCCTTCTGTCTTGAGACACAGGGAAAGGGTCAAAGAATGCTTGAGCATATCCTGTTCAGCACCAGAAAGGGTAAGAGATAGAAAAAGTGAGTAGTGGTATAGTAAACACCCACTCTCCTGCTCTCATCTTTTATTTTATTCCTGATGAGGTAATGGTGGATTCCAGCCCTTTGAGAAGAAAAAGAGAGAGAAAGAATTGCTATCACTTTTGTCTTCTCCCTCTTTTCCCCCACCTGTTTCATTTACAAAATTGACTATTCCATTTATTTGGTGGGAATGGAACCAATTTTTGTAATTTAAATTAGCAACATGGGTCTTCTTTGTAGTCAATAAAGATATAGCATCCTGAAGGCTTTCTTTATTAGAGATCTCCAATACTTTGCTACACTCTTACACTCTTACATCATCTCTTGGATATCACAATCTTATAAAACTCTTGTGCATTTTTTCAAGTAGGGCCTCCTTCCTAGTTCCAATCAAAAGCTCATACTTACAGATTGTGGTGGTTAACTTGTTCAGCAATTTCGGCCATGCTGTCTTCACTTCCTGTTTTCGCTGTTTTTGTCCTGACTCATTAAGACATTAGTTCCATCTTTCCAGGATCAGCCCAATAATTTTTCTCTCCCACCATTGATTGACTATTGAAATGCATGGCCCTAACCTAGAGTAATAATTGCTAGTAAAATAGGGAGCTTTCTTTTTCTTGTTGGGTTACCTTCAATTCATGCAAAGTTCATGGGATGTGTCATGTTGTTGTTGGTTGGGCTACTTGGCAAGTAGGGCAATCTCATGCATGTCGCCTGTTGATGGTATTCAGAAGTCTGACTAAATTTTTTATTTCATGGTTACTGTACATTTGCAATGATTGAAAGTACCATTATCATACTGTTTCAATCGAGAGTGAATTTGCCCCCAGCTGGTATGAGATCCTGTATCCTATATCCATTCTCTCTACTATAAAAGAGAAATACATATGGTTACTCCTATAAACAAGGGCTCTTACATCTTTTCCTTCAATATACCATTCCTTCCAAGTCCCAGGAATAATACAATCAGTTTAACTAAACAGGGTTTTTTGATTTATTGTTGAGAGGTTGTTGCCTGGTAGGCATTGTACTCTTGCATTCATTCATGTATTTTATTTGAATTACGTTTTTTTTTTCTTTTTTCTTTTTTTTTCAATTTCATCTATCAACACTATAGGGGATAAAATGAGTACGTACATAGGAAGTTAGAGTTAGAGGTTGCTCCTATAAAGAATAAAATGAGAGAATCATTTAAGATGGTTCAATCATATGTGATGAAGACCATTAAACGCATCAATTAAAGGAAGTGATTAAGCTTCTAACTAGTGGAGAAAAGACTAGAGATATGCCTAAGAGAACTTAGAGCATGTTTGGCAACTTTGGATTATAATCCACTTGGCTTATAATCCATAAATATTTAATAAGCTAGCCAAAATGTTTGGTACATTTGGTAGATTATAACCCATTTTCAATAGTAAAGTGTTTAGTAAATAAGTGGCTTATAAGTCATTGTTGTTGTCAATATGGCCAAAAAATATTTTATGGGGTTGAAGAGAGATAAATGGGTCTTGGAATATTCTGAAATGATGAGGGATATATTGATCTTTCACACGGTTAAACCTTATGGCTTATAAACCTCCGAAAAGTAAACTGGGATACCCCAGCTTATGTCTTGGTGGTTTGGTGGCTTACAAGCAAAAAATAAATCATTTATGAACCATGTCAATTGTCAAGGTGGCTTTGTGTCTTGTAAGCCACTTTGATTACATGCCAACCATATTCTTCCTAGTTAGAAAGACTATTAAGAAGGATTTGAGGATATGATAATGCTCAACTTAGTGGATGGAGGAGATACCTCTTAACAAATCTGAATGGAAAAAATATCATTCATGTAGCTTAGATGTTAATATCTGAACAAAGAATATTATCCCTTTTATGCATTTCCTTTCACCTACTGATATTATATATTCTGGTGGATTCAGGCCAACAATTGAAGTACTAATCCCAAAAACATAATGCAGAAACACGAAGAACATGAACCAAACCTAACCATAAACATTTTCTTTTCCTTTAATTTGGTAATTTGTGTATCTATTCTTTCAACAATTTTTTTTTATCCATTTACAGTTCCATGATCCCCTAAATATCAAAAAGGCATGATATGAGTGGTCTTAGTATCATACCCAGCAACTAAACTCTTCTTATCAACCCTAAACACCCTCAACAAATCTCCAGCCATCCTCCTCACCGCCGGCGAGCAATCCCCCTGCATCACCACCAGTATCTTCGCCATTCCTCCAGCAACTGCAGCCACCGCCTCCTTTGCCTTCAGATCTCCACTAGAACCAAAACAAACACTCCACAGAACTCCAACTGCAGCTTCTCTCCCTTCTCTACCAACCTTCATCATTCTCCACATAACAACCTCAACACAGTCCTCC